TCTGTCTGTCTGTCTGTCTGTCTGTCTCTCTGCCTGCCTGCCTGCCTGCCTGTCTGTCTGTCTGTCTGTCTGCCTGCCTGTCTGTCTGTCTGTCTGTCTGTCTGTCTGTCTGTCTGTCTGTCTGTCTGTCTGTCTGTCTGTCTGTCTGTCTGTCTGTCTGCCTGTCTGCCTGTCTGCATGCCTGCCTGCCTGCCTGCCTGCCTGTCTGTCTGCTTGTCTGTCTGTCTGTCTGTCTGTCTGTCTGTCTGTCTGTCTTTCTGTCTGCCCGTCTGTTTGTCTGTCTGTCTGTCTGTCTGTCTGTCTGTCTGCCTGTCTGCATGCCTGCCTGCCTGCCTGCCTGCCTGCCTGCCTGCCTGTCTGCCTGTCTGTCTGTCTGTCTGTCTGTCTGTCTATCTGCCTGCCTGTCTGTCTGTCTGTCTGTCTGTCTGTCTGTCTGTCTGTCTGTCTGTCTGTCTGTCTGTCTGTCTGTCTGTCTGTCTGTCTGTCTGTCTGTCTGTCTGTCTGTCTGTCTGTCTGTCTGTCTGATTGTCTGTTTGTTTGTTTGTCTGTTTGTCTGTTTGTCGTTTCCAGATTACCACAATTGTGGCCAGTGACTTGAGTTTGGCGACATTTTTTGTGCCCATTTTTTTAAAGTTGGGTCTTTGTGTTTGTTTTAAGACATACACAGAACCCACGGGTATCATTGACTAGTGCTGATTGCGAACAAGTTTAGCCTAATTAACAGAATGGAAGTGCAAGCACGAATTACAGACTTGAAGCTACACGTGGAGAATCTAATGCGAATTAAATTATATCTAAATGCTGGAGAGGATATTAAACAAAGCTTATAAGGTGTGGAAGCAAGGCAAGGTTAGACGCGAGAAATTGTAATAAATGAATTAAATGCCCCTGAAAGGTTAGCTAATTTTGTTTAAAATTCAGCTTTATTAAAATTAAATGTTGCACATGTTAAACTATTGTAATTGTATTGCCGTTATGGTATTAACATTGTATCCATACGATTGTCTTCCATTAACATAGTAAGTCGACCATATAACTTGTTGTCTAAGTATAGCTATGAAAGGTTTTAAAGTGTTTTTATTTTATTTTGATGGGATTCGTATCTCCATTTGATTGCATGTTTCATTAGTCCTACACATTATACTATTAATTTACAAAAATGCACGCCTTCATTACTCTTAATTGCAAGCCAAAAACATACATAATGCCCAAGTCATTTTTTGCACACACACACACACACACTTTTGGTGAGGGAAGATTGTTGGTCAAGAAACGGAGCCTTTAATGTAGCATTGACTTCAGTTGTTCAGGTGGTGACCGACACCCACTTTCTAAGGTCACGGGTTCAAGGTCAGATAAACTCGTAGACAAAGCCCTTGTATGTAGCATACATATGGTGGGTGCACATTGTGGCATACGGGTGGTGGACACAGGATCACGTGATACCCGCGACCACGCCCACACTCCACACAGATCAACTTAACGACCTAAGGGAAATAATTCATTCACTTCGAGTTATTTATGGAGTTGTCGCCCGTTTCAGGGTCCATCGCCCACGTGTAGCCATGGTTACCGTTTGTTTACAACTCACAGCTGTCGATGGACGAAGTCACATGAAAATAGTTGGTGACTTGAAGCGGAGGTCATAGGTCAAGTGTTGGGACATGATCTAACTAGCCAGTGGTCACTTTACAACCGTGCTGGACACTGGTCACTTTATGGCAGTGTAGGGAATCACATGACCCTCTCGGTGACCTCGGGTCACGTGGTCCAGTCCATCACACCCAAATGATGTCCTTGACATGAAAGGTTAAAGGTTAACTGGCTGAACGTGAGTCGCCCCGCCCATCTCATCACGTGGTGCACCCGAGACGCCCAGGTCATGACAGGTTCGAATCCAAGCAAGACAAATAAATTTCACACGACAGTCGACACCAGCTGTACGCCCACCCGTCACACAGCAACCAAACGTCACACAGTAACCACACGACACACAGCAACACACAGCAACCACCCAACCACCCATCACACAGCAACCACCCGTCACACAGCAACCACCCGTCACACAGCAACCACCCGTCACACAGCAACCACCCGTCACACAGCAACCACCCGTCACACAGCAACCACCCGTCACACAGCAACCACCCGTCACACAGCAACCACCCGTCACACAGCAACCACCCGTCACACAGCAACCACCCAACCACCCATCACACAGCAACCACCCATCACACAGCAACCACCCAACCACCCATCACACAGCAACCACCCAACCACCCATCACACAGCAACCACCCGTCACACAGCAACCACCCAACCACCCGTCACACAGCAACCATCCGTCACACAGCAACCACCCAACCACCCGTCACACAGCAACCACCCGTCACACAGCAACCACCCGTCACACAGCAACCACCCAACCACACATCACACAGCAACCACCCATCACACAGCAACCACCCAACCACCCATCACACAGCAACCACCCAACCACCCATCACACAGCAACCACCCGTCACACAGCAACCACCCAACCACCCGTCACACAGCAACCACCCAACCACCCGTCACACAGCAACCATCCGTCACACAGCAACCACCCAACCACCCGTCACACAGCAACCATCCGTCACACAGCAACCACCCGTCACACAGCAACCACCCAACCACCCATCACACAGCAACCACCCAACCACCCATCACACAGCAACCACCCAACCACCCATCACACAGCAACCACCCATCACACAGCAACCACCCAACCACCCGTCACACAGCAACCACCCAACCACCCATCACACAGCAACCACCCAACCACCCATCACACAGCAACCACCCATCACACAGCAACCACCCAACCACCCGTCACACAGCAACCACCCGTCACACAGCAACCACCCGTCACACAGCAACCACCCGTCACACAGCAACCACCCGTCACACAGCAACTACCCAACCACACATCACACAGCAACCACCCATCACACAGCAACCACCCAACCACCCATCACACAGCAACCACCCAACCACCCATCACACAGCAACCACCCGTCACACAGCAACCACCCAACCACCCGTCACACAGCAACCACCCAACCACCCGTCACACAGCAACCATCCGTCACACAGCAACCACCCGTCACACAGCAACCACCCATCACACAGCAACCACCCAACCACCCGTCACACAGCAACCATCCGTCACACAGCAACCACCCGTCACACAGCAACCACCCAACCACCCATCACACAGCAACCACCCAACCACCCATCACACAGCAACCACCCGTCACACAGCAACCACCCAACCACCCGTCACACAGCAACCACCCGTCACACAGCAACCACCCGTCACACAGCAACCACCCAACCACCCATCACACAGCAACCACCCAACCACCCATCACACAGCAACCACCCAACCACCCATCACACAGCAACCACCCAACCACCCGTCACACAGCAACCATCCGTCTACCCTACGGTCTCTCCCTTCTATCCCCTATCTGACGATTGTAGGGAAAAAAGTCACAGGAAAAAGTCACAGGAAAAAGTCTCAGGAAAAAAGTCACAGGAAAAAAGTCTTAGGAAAAAGTCACAGGAAGAAAAGTCACAGGAAAAAGTCACAGGAAAAAGTGCTAGAAAAAAAGTGATAGGAAAAAGTCACAGGTAAAAGTCACAGGAAAAAGTCACAGGAAAAAGTCACAGGAAAAAGTCACAGAAAAAAGTCACAGGAAAAAGTCTTAGGAAAAAGTCACAGGAAAAAGTATCAGGAAAAAAGTCACAGGAAAAAGTCTTAGGAAAAAGTCACAGGAAAAAAGTCACAGGAAAAAGTCACAGGAAAAAGTGATAGGAAAAAAGTGATAGGAAAAAGTCACAGGAAAAAGTCACAGGAAAGAGTCACAGCAAAAAGTCACAGGAAAAATTCACAGGAAAAAAAGTCACAAGAAAAAGTCACAGGAAAAAGTCACAGGAAAAAGTGATAGGAAAAAGTGATAGGAAAAAAGTGATAGGAAAAAGTCGCAGGAAAAAGTCACAGGATTGAGTCTCAGGAAAAAAGTCACAGGAAAAAAGTCTTAGGAAAAAGTCAGAGGAAAAAAAGTCATTGGAAAAAGTTACAGGAAAAATTGATAGGAAAAAAAGTGATAGGAAAAAGTCACAGGAAAAAGTCACAGGAAAGAGTCACAAGAAAAAGTCTCTGGAAAAAGTCACAGGAAAAAAAGTCACAGGAAAAAGTCACAGGAAAAAGTGATAGGAAAAAAGTGATAGGAAAAAGTCTCAGGAAAAAAGTCACAGGAAAAAAGTCTTAGGAAAAAGTCACAGGAAAAAAAGTCACAGGAAAAAGTCACAGGAAAAAGTGCTAGAAAAAAAGTGATAGGAAAAAGTCACAGGTAAAAGTCACAGGAAAAAGTCACAGGAAAAAGTCACAGGAAAAAGTCGCAGGAAAAAGTCACAGGAAAAAGTCTCAGGAAAAAAGTCACAGGAAAAAAGTCACAGGAAAAAGTCACAGGAAAAAGTCCCAAAAAAAAGTCTCAGGAAAATGTCACAGGAAAAAGTGATAGGAAAAAAGTGATAGGAAAAAGTCACAGGAAAAAGTCACAGGAAAAAGTCACAGGAAAAAGTCACAGGAAAAAAGTCAAAGGAAAAAGGGCACAAATATATATTTGGAATTTGTTAATACTTTTATGTATCAAATATTCAGATAGTGCACATCAACTTTGATTAACTAAATATGATAAAACGAGCCGACCCGCTATTTAGTTGTTTTATTTTCTACCTAATTTATTTTATTTTCTACCTAATAAATATGGTTAGTAATTTTAGAACTTAATATAAATTGTAAAAGCATTATAAAGTGTAATAATAATCAGATTTTGATCTTTACAACAAGTAAAAGTTCCATAAGATTTACAAAGTTGCCTCACATTTTGGTACATATTTATTTGAGTACCCGGTAGAAAAAAATCATTTTAAGCACATCGTACTCATTTTTTTTTGCCTTGTCGGCCTTTCTTCTGTCGGCCTTTCTTCTGTCGGCCTTTCTTCTGTCGGCTTAGTCCGTCCACATAGTGTATTGTTCGTGTTTTGCTTCAACGAAAGTGTATCGTGTCAGTTTTGGTTTGATCCTATAGTTTGTGATGTCATGAGCTCGATACATCTGGACAGTAAACTATTGTTGCCATTTTGGTTTGATCCTATAGTTTGTGATGTCATGAGCTCGATACATCTGGACAGTAAACTATTGTTGCCATTTTTATTGCCATCAATTGATAACAACAAATGTTAACTCTACCAAGTTAACCTGATCAAAGTTAGAAATTAAAAACCGGATGAAAACTGAACATTCTTCCTCATTCTATCTTGTGACGAGATGCAAACCTACATAGGTTTTACGTCTTATAATCATAGAAATAAAACCTAAAATGTTTGCATTACAATTAATTAACTGTATGTTGATTTACACTTTCTGAAAGTATCAACAAATGACAAATTTCATGTAAATAAACAGTTGTGACTTTTTTCCCTTTTTTGCCTTCTGCATGTTGTGTTCCTACCATCAACTGACAGGCGAACTAGAAAGGTTTTATTGCTTTATTATGAACTAGGCAGAACTTGACAAAACTATCTACTGACATGACAGTGTGCTACTGCCATGTGTCAGTGTCAACATTAAGGGCGGTGATCTTTAGCTAACAACATGATATACATAATATGTGTTATATGTTGAGATGAGTTATGTTAACATATGACTTTAGCTAACAACATAATATACAATCTCATAAGTTGATCTGTTATATGATGAGGTGAGTTATGTTAACATAATTATGACTTGAACTACCATCTAAGTTACATGTTTAGACTAAGAAAAATACAACTATACACTGAAAATTCTACAATTTTTGGCATTATACCGTCTCACTGTTATTGTCACTGTCAGTGTTAGTATCAGTGTCAGTGTTAGTGTCAGTGTCAGTGTTATTGTTATTGTTAGTGTCAGTGTTAGTGTTAGTGTCAGTGTCTGTGTCAGTGACGTCAACTTGTTTATCAATGACAGTTGTCATCGTCTGTTGATGTCATGGTGATTTTGTAAAAGTTATGACATTTGTCATGGTATGTCATGGTGATTATGTAAAAGTTATGACATTTGTCATGGTATGTCATGGTGATTATGTAAAAGTTATGACATTTGTCATGGTATGTCATGGTGATTATGCAAAGGTTTAAAATATGACATCACAGTCGATCTTTGCTGGACATCATGATATACCTGTAAATTAGGCGTTATATTTACAGCCAAGGTCACGACCTTCTACACTATTTACAACTCAGTTTCAGCAAAAATAAATAAATCATCAAACAAGCAGTGCCCAAACTCAAGTCATCCAATATGGCGTTAAGTCATCCAATATGGTGTCAAGTCACCCAATATGGCGTCAAGCCATCCAATATGGCGTCAAGTCATCCAATATAGCGTCAAGTCACCCAATATGGCGTCAAGTCATCCAATATGGCGTCAAGTCACCCAATATGGCGTCAAGTCATCCAATATGGCGTCAAGTCATCCAATATGGCGTCAAGTCATCCAATATGGCGTCAAGTCATCCAATATGGCGTCAAGTCATCCAATATGGCGTCAAGTCATCCAATATGGCGTCAAGTTATCCAATATGGCGTCAAGTCATCCAATATGGCGTCAAGTCATCCAATATGGCGTCAAGTCATCCAATATGGCGTCAAGTCATCCAATATGGCGTCAAGTCATCCAATATGGCGTCAAGTCATCCGATAGGACGCACTCAGACAGACGTTAAAAGTTGAAATGGTTGACTGGGTGACACGGTTATCACGTGATCAGCTCGTGTCTTTAACCAGCAGATGTCAGCCGTACAACCAGGCCAGGGTGGTTGTCATGTGGACAACCGTGGCTGTTGTAGAATTGTGGTTGTCATTTCTCAGGGGGGGGGGTTGCACCTTTTGACCCGAGAAGCAGGGAGGACGGGTGGGGTTCGAGTCCTCCCCCTCCTTCCCCCCCACCTCGCCTCTCAGAGCTTGCTCATCTCCGTCTCTCCGTGGATCATCTGCAGACATGCGCGGAAGTCGTCTCGCACCTCGTCCACTTCCGGCTCCTCCTCCAAGATGATGCAGCTCCCCCTGCCGGAGACCGACTTACTCCGGTGATGTCCCTTGTTGGGGAGCACCATGTAGGCCGACCTTGAGAGGCTGCCCTTCCGCACCACCCTCATCATGCTGACGTAATCCGAGTCGGATTTCGTCCGGGTCACTTCCGGTTTTGTGCGAGCAACTTCCGGTTTGACACGCCCAAGTTTTGCCGGCTCCGACCAGTCCAGCCGTGTGCACGAGACGTTGTCAGTGCCGGCAACAAGTTTCTGTCTGGCACTGACCGGCGGCTCCTCCACAGACTTGGACCTCCCACCTGAGGAGGTGGAGCCGCTCCTCTGGAGCCGGGGACACCTGGGGATCTGATGCTGGCTCTGTGACGTCACTAGAATCCTGGCGGCGGGTATCACGTCTGTAGATGTCAGCTGTCGGCCGTTGATGTTCAGCAGTGACGTCATTTCCGACGGATAGACAGCGCAGGCACTGGGGCGGGTCACGTGTGCCGGACTGCCTGCCTCATCCTCCCCGTCCTCCGTGATGAGGAGCCGCAGGTTGGGAGCCGCGCTCTGGCCGTACCTCCTCCTTCTCTGGGCTATCGTGTCGTGAGGCTGAGGACAGAGAGGTCTCAGATGAGGGAAGGCGGGAACAGAGAGGTGTGGGGTGGGGAGGGCGGGAACAGAGAGGTGTGGGGAGGGGAGGGCGGGAACAGAGGGGTGGGGAGGGGAGGGAGTAGTTAGACTATTAGGTTTGTTTTAAATGAACTTTCATTTCAGTCTGGTTCATTTAAATAAAAGCGTTTTGGTGAACATTAGGCATATAGACACCAAACATACATTAGACAGACACCAGACAGACACCAGACAGACAACAGACATAATATTATGACGTCATCTGGAATGACCTTGTGTGACGTCATCTTGTGGGGGTTGACGTGTTGACTGCTGACTCTCAAGATGGCGGCTCTGTGGGGTAGATGGTGCCAGGAGGCCGAGCGGGCCATGGCAGGAATTTTCTTGGTCACGTGAACGATGGGTTGCTATGGAAACACAAAGAACACATTTGGCTGTTGTTACTGCTATTGTGTGTTGCCACCACCTGACGACTTTAACTCTGACCGTCTAAGCTCTACCTCTGACCATCTAAGCTCTGCCTGACCATCTAAGCTCTACCTGACCATCTAAGCTCTGCCTGACCATCTAAGCTCTGCCTGACCATCTAAGCTCTACCTGACCGTCTAAGCTCTACCTGACCATCTAAGCTCTACCTCTGACCATCTAAGCTCTACCTGACCGTCTAAGCTCTACCTGACCATCTAAGCTCTACCTGACCGTCTAAGCTCTACCTGACCATCTAAGCTCTACCTCTGACCATCTAAGCTCTACCTGACCGTCTAAGCTCTACCTGACCATCTAAGCTCTACCTGACCGTCTAAGCTCTACCTGACCATCTAAGCTCTACCTCTGACCATCTAAGCTCTACCTGACCGTCTAAGCTCTACCTGACCATCTAAGCTCTACCTCTGACCATCTAAGCTCTACCTGACCGTCTAAGCTCTACCTGACCATCTAAGCTCTACCTGACCGTCTAAGCTCTACCTGACCATCTAAGCTCTACCTCTGACCATCTAAGCTCTACCTGACCGTCTAAGCTCTACCTGACCATCTAAGCTCTACCTGACCGTCTAAGCTCTACCTGACCATCTAAGCTCTACCTCTGACCATCTAAGCTCTACCTGACCGTCTAAGCTCTACCTGACCATCTAAGCTCTACCTCTGACCATCTAAGCTCTACCTGACCGTCTAAGCTCTACCTGACCATCTAAGCTCTACCTGACCGTCTAAGCTCTACCTGACCATCTAAGCTCTACCTCTGACCATCTAAGCTCTACCTGACATTCTAAGCTCTAACTGACCATCTAAGCTCTACCTGACCGTCTAAGCTCTACCTGACCATCTAAGCTCTACCTCTGACCATTTAAGCTCTAACTGACCATCTAAGCTCTACCCCTAACCATCTAAGCTCTACCTGACCATCTAAGCTCTACCTCTGACCATTTAAGCTCTAACTGACCATCTAAGCTCTACCCCTAACCATCTAAGCTCTACCTGACCATCTAAGCTCTACCTCTGACCATTTAAGCTCTACCTGACCGTCTAAGCTCTAACTGACCATCTAAGCTCTACCCCTAACCATCTAAGCTCTACCTGACCATCTAAGCTCTACCTCTGACCATTTAAGCTCTAACTGACCATCTAAGCTCTACCCCTAACCATCTAAGCTCTACCTGACCATCTAAGCTCTACCTCTGACCATTTAAGCTCTACCTCTGACCATCTAAGCTCTACCTGACCATCTAAGCTCTACCTGACCATCTAAGCTCTACCTCTGACCATTTAAGCTCTACCTCTGACCATTTAAGCTCTACCTGACCATCTAAGCTCTACCTGACCATCTAAGCTCTACCTCTGACCATCTAAGCTCTACCTGATCATCTAAGCTCTACCTCTGACCATTTAAGCTCTACCTCTGACCATCTAAGCTCTACCTGACCATCTAAGCTCTACCTGACCATCTAAGCTCTACCTCTGACCATTTAAGCTCTACCTCTGACCATTTAAGCTCTACCTGACCATCTAAGCTCTACCTGACCATCTAAGCTCTACCTCTGACCATCTAAGCTCTACCTGACCATCTAAGCTCTACCTGACCATCTAAGCTCTACCTCTGACCATTTAAGCTCTACCTCTGACCATCTAAGCTCTACCTGACCATCTAAGCTCTACCTGACCATCTAAGCTCTACCTCTGACCATCTAAGCTCTACCTGACCATCTAAGCTCTACCTCTGACCATCTAAGCTCTACCTGACCATCTAAGCTCTACCTGACCGTCTAAGCTCTAACTGACCATCTAAGCTCTACCCCTAACCATCTAAGCTCTACCTGACCATCTAAGCTCTACCTCTGACCATTTAAGCTCTACCTCTGACCATCTAAGCTCTACCTGACCATCTAAGCTCTACCTGACCATCTAAGCTCTACCTCTGACCATTTAAGCTCTACCTCTGACCATTTAAGCTCTACCTGACCATCTAAGCTCTACCTGACCATCTAAGCTCTACCTCTGACCATCTAAGCTCTACCTGACCATCTAAGCTCTACCTCTGACCATTTAAGCTCTACCTCTGACCATCTAAGCTCTACCTGACCATCTAAGCTCTACCTGACCATCTAAGCTCTACCTCTGACTATTTAAGCTCTACCTCTGACCATTTAAGCTCTACCTGACCATCTAAGCTCTACCTCTGACCATCTAAGCTCTACCTGACCATCTAAGCTCTACCTGACCATCTAAGCTCTACCTCTGACCATTTAAGCTCTACCTCTGACCATCTAAGCTCTACCTGACCATCTAAGCTCTACCTGACCATCTAAGCTCTACCTCTGACCATCAAAGCTCTACCTGACCATCTAAGCTCTACCTGACCATCTAAGCTCTACCTCTGACCATTTAAGCTCTACCTCTGACCATTTAAGCTCTACCTGACCATCTAAGCTCTACCTGACCATCTAAGCTCTACCTCTGACCATCTAAGCTCTACCTGACCATCTAAGCTCTACCTCTGACCATTTAAGCTCTACCTCTGACCATCTAAGCTCTACCTGACCATCTAAGCTCTACCTGACCATCTAAGCTCTACCTCTGACCATTTAAGCTCTACCTCTGACCATTTAAGCTCTACCTGACCATCTAAGCTCTACCTCTGACCATTTAAGCTCTACCTCTGACCATCTAAGCTCTACCTGACCATCTAAGCTCTACCTGACCATCTAAGCTCTACCTCTGACCATCTAAGCTCTACCTGACCATCTAAGCTCTACCTCTGACCATTTAAGCTCTACCTCTGACCATCTAAGCTCTACCTCTGACAATCTAAGCTCTACCTGACCATTTAAGCTCTACCTCTGACCATTTAAGCTCTACCTCTGACCATTTAAGCTCTACCTCTGACCATTTAAGCTCTACCTCTGACCATTTAAGCTCTACCTCTGAACATTTAAGCTCTACCTCTGACCATTTAAGCTCTACCTGACCATCTAAGCTCTACCTGACCATCTAAGCTCTACCTCTGACCATCTAAGCTCTACCTGACCATCTAAGCTCTACCTGACCATCTAAGCTCTACCTCTGACCATTTAAGCTCTACCTCTGACCATCTAAGCTCTACCTGACCATCTAAGCTCTACCTGACCATCTAAGCTCTACCTCTGACCATCTAAGCTCTACCTGACCATCTAAGCTCTACCTGACCATCTAAGCTCTACCTCTGACCATTTAAGCTCTACCTGACCATCTAAGCTCTACCTGACCATCTAAGCTCTACCTCTGACCATCTAAGCTCTACCTGACCATCTAAGCTCTACCTCTGACCATTTAAGCTCTACCTCTGACCATCTAAGCTCTACCTCTGACCATCTAAGCTCTACCTGACCATCTAAGCTCTACCTCTGACCATCTAAGCTCTACCTGACCATTTAAGCTCTACCTCTGACCATTTAAGCTCTACCTCTGACCATTTAAGCTCTACCTCTGACCATTTAAGCTCTACCTCTGACCATCTAAGCTCTACCTGACCATTTAAGCTCTACCTCTGACCATTTAAGCTCTACCTCTGACCATTTAAGCTCTACCTCTGACCATTTAAGCTCTACCTCTGACCATTTAAGCTCTACCTCTGACCATTTAAGCTCTACCTGACCATCTAAGCTCTACCTGACCATCTAAGCTCTACCTCTGACCATCTAAGCTCTACCTGACCATCTAAGCTCTACCTCTGACCATTTAAGCTCTACCTCTGACCATTTAAGCTCTACCTCTGACCATTTAAGCTCTACCTCTGACCATTTAAGCTCTACCTCTGACCATTTAAGCTCTACCTCTGACCATTTAAGCTCTACCTGACCATCTAAGCTCTACCTCTGGTGTATGAAGGAGAATTGGCTAAAACATCCAGAGGACAAACAATGAAAACAAAAGTTAGCCCTATAAAAACAAACAAAAGTTAGCCCTACAAACAAACAAAAGTGAGCCCTACAAACAAACAAAAGTTAGCCTTACAGACAATGAAAACAAAAGATAACCTTCAAACAATGAAAACAAAAGTTAGCCCTACAAAAAACAAAAGTTAGCCCTACAAACAAACAAAAGTTAGCCCTACAAACAAACAAAAGTTAGCCCTACAAACAATGAAAACAAAAGTTAGCCCTACAAACAAACAAAAGTTAGCCCTACAAACAAACAAAAGTTAGCCCTACAAACAAACAAAAGTTAGCCCTACAAACAATGAAAACAAAAGTTAACCCTACAAACAATGAAAACAAAAGTTAACCCTACAAACAATGAAAACAAAAGTTAGCCCTACAAACAATGAAAACAAAAGTTAGCCCTACAAACAAACAAAAGTTAGCCCAACAAACAATGAAAACAAAAGTTAGCCCTACAAACAAACAAAAGTTAGCCCTACAAACAAACAAAAGTTAGCCCTACAAACAAACAAAAGTTAGCCCTACAAACAATGAAAACAAAAGTTAGCCCTACAAACAAACAAAAGTTAGCCCTACAAACAATGAAAACAAAAGTTAGCCCTACAAACAAACAAAAGTTAGCCCAACAAACAATGAAAACAAAAGTTAGCCCTACAAACAAACAAAAGTTAGCCCTACAAACAAACAAAAGTTAGCCCTACAAACAAACAAAAGTTAGCCCTACAAACAAACAAAAGTTAGCCCTACAAACAATGAAAACAAAAGTTAACCCTACAAACAATGAAAACAAAAGTTAACCCTACAAACAATGAAAACAAAAGTTAGCCCTACAAACAATGAAAACAAAAGTTAGCCCTACAAACAAACAAAAGTTAGCCCTACAAACAAACAAAAGTTAGCCCTACAAACAAACAAAAGTTAACCCTACAAACAATGAAAACAAAAGTTAGCCCTACAAACAAACAAAAGTTAGCCCTACAAACAATGACAAC